AGCTGCTGCTCCTCAGCTCCTCACCAGCTCTGAGCAAGGCTGTGGCACAGCCCAGGATGAGAAGCCTTTGCTAATTGGACTTTTGGGGCACATCTCTCTCTGCCCACAGGGTGCCCAGAAGATTAACTTCTTATCAGGCCTCAGCACTGGGGTTTTCACTCCAGCCCTAAGTATGCCATTCACAGAGAAAGGGCAGAAAAATGCCTGAAGGCTGTGGAGTTCTGGGAGCAGAGCTCAGAATCGCTTAAATCCCACCACCTTTSTGCAGGATGTGCTTGCTCTGCCCATCCGTCTTCCTTATGGATTGTTTTTGTGCAGAAAAGGCAAACCTGTTCTAATTAACTTTGGATGGATTGTTTCACAGAAGGATAAAAGCAATTAGCATTTCCTCCTTACCTTGTGTGGTGGTGCTAAAGGTTATTTTTCTGAGACCAGCTGACAAGAAGGTGAATAAATCCAAAGCAGTGAGTAAATGCTGTATGCAATTGAGTGATYTAAGTGCTACATTTATTTATCGAGAAATTCATGGGTTTTCGTTTTAAGCTTTCTTTTCTAAGTCTGGGCACTCTAAGAGCAGTATCTGTAGCTAGATCAGGAGCTCATTGATGGCTAGAATTGYACAAATATTTGTCAGACAGAGACAGAGAATGGAGAGAAATGTTTCTATCTGGATTTTGTTAACAGGAGATGAAGGCACCCGAAAGAGAAATGCTTAATTTGGTGTCTGAGGAAGCCAGGCCCTGAACCCAGCTCTGAAGGTCTAAAATATGGACTTATCCCGAAGCTGTCCCCAAAGTTGTCCCCAAAACTGTCCCCAAAGCTGTCCTTCTGCCCCAGCCAGACTCTGTGCTCTCCTGGACCTGCTGCCATGGCTGGGGGAGATCCCCCTCAGCACTGATGTCTCTGTCCAGGTGAAAAAGGCGAATTCCTGGCTCAGTTCTAACATTTGCTGATGCCTTTCTTCACTTTTTCTTTTTTTTTTTTTTTTTAATTTTCATAACTACTGCTGTAGTTCTCCTGTTAAATTCTCTTCGCCCTTTTCAATATGAAGCTCATAATCCTTCATTTCTTTCTCCATTCCCTGCTTCCCTCACAGTCTCAGGAATTGCTCTCTCCTTGCTCTTTAGCCATCTGCTTACATCAATTCTTTGCATACCCCTTATGCCTTAAACGCAGTTTCCATATGCTTCCCTGATTTGTTGACACGGATGACATTCCTCTCTCCTCCTTTTTCCCCCTCCTCTGGTAGTTTTCCATCCTCCTGTGATTTGGTTCAGCCCTTCCTCTGTTCCCCCTGTTGTACAACAAGCACAAGGAAGGAGCAGGAGGTTCTAAACCTCATGGCTGTGATGGTGCAGTTCAAATCTTGTCTGTGGCACATGGGAGAATCTGGCAGCACCTATCCTTTAAAATGAGAGTGGTTTCCCTGCAGAGTTCAGTAATTAAACCATTCACAAGGTTTTTATTCAGGTATTGGTAAGAGCTGGTGCTGTAGGAGATGGGAATGCTGGTGGTGTTCACTTCCATTTGTGATTTCATCTCTCCATTTTCTGYTGTTAGGCCAGAATCCTGTGTCAGATATTTAGAGAATACAGGAATACTTTTATTTTTTTTTCCATAGAGCAAATAAGAAAACTGTAGAATTTATGGACATGTTGGAAGGGGTGTTGGAAGGGGCCAAAAGTGTAAAATATTTGAGAAAAAGACGGAGAAATTGATGCAGCAAAGGTTCCCCAACATCTGACACAGAAAATCATCAATCCACCCATTCCTGGGCACCAGTGGGATACTTCACCACAACGTGGATGCTTTTCCTGTTTTTTTTGGGTTTTTTTCCAGGGTTTTTGATGGATGATGTACAAGGGGGCTGCTGTTGTGACCTTGTGGTGATGTGTTTGTGGTGGCCTGGGCTCTCCCAGCTTGGTGTTGCATTTTTGGCTTGATCACACAGTACATCCTTGACAATATTTCTCAGTCAGAGCAGCCAAAAATATCTGAATTATCTGGTTATATCCATATGTGCAAATATAGATTCTCCAGACTGACATTGTCTATGCATAATGGGCGATCTCACTGGGAAATGGGCTGTGTTTCAGCCCCCCAATCCTGCAGGGAGCAGTTTGTAATTTACCATTTGCCATTGTAATTTAATAAAGGTGCTGTTGTCAATCCTCCCTCCTCCCCAAACAGGCTTTTTGTAACGCTTCAATGTAATACCAACATAATTGCTTCGCCTGGCATCTCTAGCATGAGGTGCATTTCAGGCTTTTAAAGTCAGGGGGAAAACAGAAGTGTAAATCAGGATAATTATTTGAGGAAATATGGATGCACTGGAATAGGGGAGGGGAAAAAAATAAGGAAAAGAAATTAATTTTAAAAGCATGCGCTGTCTTCATTTATTGGCTTAGAAATCAGCCTGGTGCTGAATCTTCAATGGGTGCAATTTCATCACAAAATTATGTTGTTTCTTTTATTGATTGAGTGCCCAGCCTGTGGTCTGTGAGCTTTGATTCTCCTTTGGCCTCAGCCAGTGCACAGACCTGCCCCCCCCCCAGGTTCTTTATGTTTGTGCCATGGGAAAGCTTAGGATAAATCATAAATCAAACCATTTTTCAGTTACTTGGGGAAAAAAAAATAAATGGGATTGAAAAGAGCATTTTTATGCCCAAAAATTTATTTAAATGCTTCCATTATGTTCACTGGTGGTTAGCACTTCTGGAATTAATTGGATTTAGATAGGCTTGTTACATGGAAATT